GGGGGGGGCAGGGTCCTACATGGAGGTAAGATGGGACATTTTGGTGAGGGGGGCTCTGCATGCTGGTTGGGGAGGAGGTGTCTCCCCCTCATCATCTATGCACCCCAGTTGGCTCCCCTTCATATCTGCCCCTCCATTTCCCCAAAGGGGGGATTCCTGTGGGGAGGCACCAGAGCCCCGCCCAGGAGTGTGAGGGCCAAAGCCCCTCCTGTTAGGAGTTATTCCCAGCATGCTTTGCTCTTGGGCCAAGTAGGGGAGCAGCAGTTGTTGGGGGAGATGAGGGAAGAGGGCTCACAGGCAGGTCCCTGCTGGGAGGTGGGTATATGTAGTGGGGGGACACCCCTAGGGCTTCCTTCATGGCTTAGGGGGGCTGTGGTGTGGAAAGGGGCCTTGGCACACTCTGAAGGTTCAAGTTCCTGCTGGAGGGGTTCCAGTATAGGGGAGGGGGTGCCCCAGCTTGTATGTGGATTCATAGATGCTAGGGTCAGAAGGGACCTCAACAGATCACTGAGTCCAACCCCCTGCCCTGGGCAGGAAACCATATATGTAATCCCATCTTTAAAGAGTGCTAGGGTCAGGTGACCCCAGCCAGATGCCTATCCAGCCTTCTCTTAAAGACCCCCAAGGTAGGGGAGAATACCACCTCCCTTGGAAGCCCATTCCAAATAATGGCCACCCTTACCATGAGGAAGTTTTTCCTGATGTCTAGCCTAAATCTGCTCTCTGTTAGTGTGTGACCATTGTTCCTTGTTACCCCAAGAGGCGCCCTGGTGAACAGAGCATCTCCGGTTCCTTGCTGCACCCCCCTAATGAATTTGTAGGCAGCCACAAGATCACCTCTCAGCCTTCTCTTGTGGAGGCTGAAGAGATCCAGGTCCCTTAGTCTCTCCTCATACCATACAAGTGGCTCTCCTGTGGACTCTCTCGAAGTTATCCACATCCTTCTTAAAGTATGGCGCCCAAAACTGGACGTGGTACTCCAACAGAGGTCTGACCAATGCTGCATAGAGGGGAAGTTATCACCTCTTTGGGGAAGTTATCACCTCTTTGGTTCTATTTGTCATGCATCTGCTGATGCATGATAAAGTGCAGTTAGCTTTGCTGGTGATTTCATCACACTGATGACTCATGTTCATCTTGGAGTCTACTATAACTCCGAGATCCCTTTCTGCTTCTGTCATTTCCTAGCCAGTAGGTGTGCTGGATATTTTTACGCCCTAGGTGCAGCACTCTGCATTTGTCCTTGTTGAACTGCATCCTATGTTCTGCCCACTTTTCCAACCTTCCAGGTCTGCCTGCAATCATTCCCTAACCTCTGGTGTGTTCACTTCGCACCACAAATTAGTATCGTCTGCAAACGTGGACAGAATGCACTTCACAGCCACATCCAAGTCACTAATGAAGACATTGAAGAGCACAGGTCCAAGGACCAAGCCCTGCAGGACCCCACTGCCCACATCCTTCCAGGTCGATACCGACCTGTCTACCACCACTCTCTGCATGCGATCCCCAAGGCAATTTGCCACCTACCGGACTGTGTAATCATCTAGGTCACAATCACAGCCTCTTAATTTATTTATGAGAATGGGATGAGATATTGTATTGAAGGCCTTCCTAAAATCCAAGTAAATGACATCCACCTCTACTCCTGTGTCTAAGCGTTTTGTCACCTGGTCATAAAAAGAAACCAGATTAGTCGGGCACAATCTACCTGCTACGAATCCATGCTGGTTGCTCTGCTGCATTATTTTTCCTGTTAGACTCACAGAAATATGATCCTTAATTTTTTCAAAGACTTCTCCAACGATAGAGGTGAGACTAACTGGCCTATAATTACTTGAATCGTCCTTCCTCCCCTTCTTGAAAATAGGGACCACATTGGCCCTTTTCCAGTCCTCCAAGACCTGACCCAAGCACCACAATTGCTCAAACAGTCCTGCCAGTGGTTCTAGGACACTGGCCAGTTCCTTCAACACCCTCGGATGCAGCTCATCCGGGCCTGCTGACTTAAACCCATCCAGTCCATCCAAGTGACTCTGCATTAAGTCAGCATCAACAGTTGGTGGGATGTTGTCCCTCTGATGCCCATCTAAGAAGCCATTAGAAGACTTGTCATGACCCTTGTTCAGGAACACTGAGGAAAAAAACACATTGAAGAGCTTAGCCTTGTCCCCCCCCTCTGTCACTAATTGCTCCTGCTTGTTCAGTAGGGGTTCTATGCTGCCCTGTGCCTTCCTTTTACTCCCTACATACCTAAAAAGAGACTTTTTGTTTTCTTTAATTTCTGTTGCCAGCCTCAGCCCTATAGTTGTGTCGGCCTTCCTATCTGCCTCCCTGCGAGTGCGGGCCAAGTAGGTATACTCCTCCTTGGTAGCTTTCTCCTGCTTCCACTGCCTGTATGCCTCTTTTGTCCCCTTAAGCTTCCCTGGATTTTTCTGTTTAGCCATGGAGGTTTTTTGGCCCCTTTCCCCCCTTTCCCTCGCAATGGAATCATCTCCCATTGCACCCGAAGGATCGCTTCCTTTAGGAACGACCACCCTTCCTGGACTCCCATCTCTCCAATACTCCTATCCTGCAGTGCATCATTGACTAAACTCCTGAGCACACTGAAGTTAGCCTTCCTAAAGTCAAGCACTTCCCCCCTACTAGTTATCTTACCCACTCTGCGCTGTACGGTGAATTCTGTTGAATGGTGGACTGTGTCCCCAAGGTGACCATGAGTCTGCAGCTCCCCTACCAGGTCATCCCCTGTAGCCAACACCAAGTCCAGTAGGGCATTCCCCCTAGTGGGACTGTATACCTCCTGCATTAGGTGAAGATCCTGTACATGAGTTAAGCACCTACGTGAACGGTTGGATTTGGCTGACTGCTCCTCCTGCAGATGTCAGGGTAGTTTAGGTCCCCCGTGACAACCACGTCCCTAGACTGTACGTTGCCTCAAGAATTCCAAGTCTAGCTCTTCCTCTTGAAGTGGTGGTCTGTAGCAGACCCCCACCACCAAGTCCTTTTCCCCCCGACCTCCACGTATCCTAACCCACAGTACCTCAGCTTTCTTCTCTGATCCCATTTTGATTAGGGTAGATGTATAATGCTCCATAACATTGAGAGCAACCTCCCCCCACCCCCCCGTTTTCTCCCTACTCCCTGGGGTGTGAGCTGGGGCTGGGGGGTGGGAGTTCCCTGTGGAGGATGGGGCCTTGTTTGGGGGTTCCCTGCTCAGGGGTGCTCTGCCTGCCCTGTCCCAGGTGTACTTCGGGCGCTGGCTCATTGAGGGGGGCCCCTACGTGGTGCTTCTGGACATCACAGCTACGGCCTGGAGCCTGGACCGCTGGAAGACAGAGCTATGGGACAGCTGCACCATCGGGGTGCCCTGGTACGACCGTGAGGCCAACGACGCTGTCCTCTTCGGCTTCCTCACCGCCTGGTTCCTGGGGGAGGTACGGTGGGGAGTGGGAGCACATGAACTGTGGGGAGTGAGGATGCCCCACAGGGCAAAGAGGTGGGGACCTGGGGAGGGGGGAGCCGGGACCCCATAGGATGAGTGACCCACAGGATGAGGGGCTATGGATGTAGCACCTCAGCCAGGGGACCTTTCAGGAAGGGGGTGAGGAATCTGAAGAGATGGGGCCACTCTGCAGAGGGGGCACCCCACACAGTGAGTGAAGGGGGGACAGAGTCCATGGGGGGAGGAGCCCTCATCAGGGCCAGATGCCGTCACCCATGCCAAGGGGGAAGTTGCATTGTGGCTCAGGCTAGTTGTGTACCTCAAGGGGAGGGTCTTTTAGTTCCCCTCCCCATGTGGGCATTCTGCTAGGCAGGGCTTTCTTATTGCCTGGGGCTGTGACTGCCAGAGGAGGGGGGCAGTAAGAAGAGGAACTTCATTGTAGGTGGAGGCTCAGTTCTGCCTGAGAAGTTGGGAAAGTGGGGGTATCAGGTATGGGCTGAGCCAGGATTTTGAAAACAGGAGTACAGATATTGTAGGGCATCCTCATATATAACACAACATATCTTTTGCTCCAGTTAAAAAGAACCAAGAAGCTATACTAGTACACTAGGGGGACCTAGGGCTGTGGTATTGTGTTTAAGATAGAATCCAGAAAAAATGTAAACCTCAATAGACTGAATAGAGCATTCATTAGCTATATCATATATAATGTATTAAAAAAACCCAACAAGCTAGACCAAAATATTCAAAAGGTGCCATTTCATTAGTCCCGTAGCTACTAGAATTGAATGTACATCTCTTTCAGATGCACAAAAAAAGTCTAGCCTTCTTGAGCGTCTTGATCGGACCTCCAAGGCTTCACCTATTTCTGCCACCTGAGCTAAACTTCAGTTGGATTAACGCTACTGCAGCTGACTGACTGTTTCTAGCTAGAGTTAAAAACAGTCTGCTGGGCTGTGATGTAGGAGCTATGTTACCAGGAGTGGACAGCAGAATTGCAGAAGAAAGCCTAGCTTGATTAGGAGAACCATGAAAGACCATTAAAAAGGAGAGAGGGTTGTTAACACCTGTGGAAGAGATCAAGTAGATTATAACAAGCCATGAAGTCAGTTGACTTCCTCAGCACTATTTGACTAGAAAGGCTGCCGCTACTGCTAGGCAGTTGGTTTTAAACTTTGTCTGGACCAGTAATCAAAGAGGGGGTGCCATTCTCCTTTGCTCCCCGCCCCCTGCAGATATCAGGTCTCTGTGCTGTCGGAGGTGTGGGGAGCAGCCTTAAAGAGTAGGCAGGGATGTAACACAGGCTGGGGTCTGGCGTGTAAGTGGGTGGGTAACAAGCAGCAGTCAGGAGGCTGGAAGTGTCCCCCCTTTCCTGCCCTTCCCCCTAACTTCAGTTTTCTAGGAAGGATCTTTGGAAGATTGCCCCACTGTCCTGAGTTTACCACTAAGCCCTTGGACAGTAGGCCGAGCTGCTGGTCTCCTGGGCTGCCAGAAATGGAACCCAGGCATCAGGCTGTCGGACACACTCGCCCACTAGACCACGCTCCCTTCCCCCAGAACAGGGAGAGAACCTCAGCATCCTGGTTTCCAGGCCCTTTTGCTCTACCCTACTAGGTCCCACTCCCCACCCAAAGCAGGGATGAAACCCAGGTGTCCTGACTGCTTTCTTCCCCTCCCCCCTTCCCCCCACCCTGCAGTTCACAGCTCAGTGTGAGGAGAAGCCATTTATCATCGGGCACTTCCACGAGTGGCTGTCCGGAGTCGGGCTCTTCCTGTGCCGCATCCGCAAGCTGCCTGTGGCCACCATCTTCACCACCCACGCCACACTGCTGGGCCGCTACCTCTGTGCTGGCAGTGTGGACTTTTACAACAACCTGCAGACTGTGAGCACCAGGATTGGGGAGGGGCTGGGGGTGCTTGGCAGGAGCTTCAGGGGTGATGGGAAGGGGCTAGGGGAGTCTGGGCACAAGGGGTCCCAGAGGCTGATGGGTAAGGACTAGGACAGTGGTTCCCAACCCCAGATCACGGGCCAAATGAGTGTCGCGGGGGCGATGCTGGCGGCCCCGCACAGAAAAGACGAGCCATGCTGTGTGCTGGGAACTCCCCTGACCCCATGCCACCACTGCTGAACTTTGCTCCCAGCAGCAGGGTGCGAAAAAAAAAGGTTGGGAATCACTGAACTAAGGCATCACTAGCAGCAGATGGGCAAGAGTCCAGAGCACTTGCAGGGAGGGCTGTGGCTTTTCAGGTAGCTAAATCATGTACCGTCTAGCCTTGCTCTGGCTGGGATGGTAGCTTGGAACCCAGGCGTCCTGGCTGCCAGGCCCCCCTGCTTGTAACTCACCAAACCCCATTGTCTTCCCACAGCTGGGATAGAACCCAGGTGTCCTGGCTCTCAGCCCCCGCTGCTCTAACTCACCATTTCCCTCCCAGAGTTGGGATAGAACCCAGGCATCCTGACATCTCTCTTGGATCCTAATAACCTACCTGCTTGGTTCTTTTTTTCCCTGCCCTCTCCACTCAGTTTAACGTGGACAAAGAGGCTGGTGACCGGCAGATTTACCACCGCTATTGTATGGAGCGTGCTGCCATCCACTGTACCCATGTCTTCACCACCGTGTCCCAGATCACAGCTGTGGAAGCTGAGCACCTGCTCAAGAGGAAACCAGGTTTGCAGGGCACTGGGACTGGGGCGAGTCTGTTTGCTGGAACCACTTCCCCAGTGCTGGGATGCAGCAACCTCTGGAGTAAAGCACATTAAGGGGCTGTTTATACAAGGACCCCTCAGGCAGAATTGAGATGCAGACACTTCTGGGGTGGGACCAAGAGTTACTAAGCAGCCTCATAGAATCATAGAAAGTCAGGGTTGGAAGGGACCTCAGGAGTTCATCTAGTCCAACCCCCTGCTCAAGGCAGGACCATCCCCAACTAGATCATCCCAGCCAAAGCTTTGTCTACTCAGGTTTTGAAAACCTCCAAGGTTTGAGCATCCACCACCTCTCTGGGTAACCTGTTCCAGTGTTTTACTACTCTCCTAGTGAGAAAATTCTTCCTAATAGCTAACCTAAACTTCCTTTGCTGCAACTTGAGACAGTTGCTCCTTGTTCTCTTATCTGCCACTGCTGAGAACAGTCCAGCTCCATCCTCTTTTGAACCCCCCTTCAGGTAGTTGACGACTGCTATTAAATCCCCTCTCAGTTTTCTCTTTTCTAGACTAAATAAGACTAGTTCCCTCAGTTTTTCCTCATAAGTCATGTCCCCCAGCCCCCTCACCATTTTTGTTGCCCTCCACTAAACTCTCTCCAATTTGTCCACATCCTTTCTGTAGTGGGGGGGCCCAAAACTGAACACAGTGCTCCAGATGTGGCCTCACCAGTGCTGAATAAAGATGAATAATCACTTCCCTTGACCTACTGGCGAAACACCCACCAATGCAGCCCAGTATGCCGTTAGCCTTCTTAGCAACAAGGTCACACTGCTGTCTCATATTCAACTTATTGTCCATTGTAACCATCACGTCCTTTTCTGCAGAGCTGCTGTCCAGTCAGTCAGCCCCCAGCTTGTACTGGTGCATGGGACTGTTCCGTCCTAAGAGCAGGACTTCACACTTGTCCTTGTGAAACCTCATGAGATTTCTTATGGCCCAATCCCCCAGTTTCTCTAAGTCACTCTGAATCCTAGCCCTACCCTCCAGCATATCTACTACTCTCTTAGCTTGGTGTCATATGCAGACTTGCTGAGGATGCACTCTATGCCATCTTCCAGGTCATAGATAAAGACATTGAACAAAACCGGCCCCAGGACCAACCTCTGGGGCACTCCACTTGATACCAGCTGCCGACTAGATACCGAGCCACTGATTACTACTCTCTGAGCCTGAAGTTCCAGCCAGTTTTCTATCCACCTTGCACTCCATTCATCGAGTCCATACTTCCTTAGCTTGCCTGTGAGAATGTTGTGGGAGATCGTATCAAAAGCCTTGCTAAATTCAAGGTATACCACATTGGTCTCCCCACATCCATAGAACCAGTCACCTCATCATAGAAGGCAATCAAGTTGGTCAGACATGATTTGCCCTTGGTGAATCCATGCTGACTGTTCCTAATCACCTTTTTCTCCTCCAAGTGCTTAGAAATGGATTCCTTGAGGACCCGCTCCATGATTTTTCCAAGGACTGAGGTGAGGCTTGTAGTTCTCTGGATCCTCCTCCTTCCCTTTTTTAACTATGGGCAATATGTTTGCTCTTTTCCAGTCATCCGGGACCTCTCCTGGTTGCCATGAGTTTTCAAAGATGATGGCCAGGGGCTCTGCAATCACAGCAGCCAAACTCCCTCAGTACCCTCAGGTGCATCCCATCCGGCCCCATGGACTTGTACACGTACAGCTTTACTAGGTAGTCCCTAACCTGTTCTTTCATCACTGAGGGCTGCTCACCTTCTCCCCAAACTGTGCTGCCTAGTGCAATGGTCTGGGAGTGGATCTTGCCTTTTAAAGACAGGTTTTAAAGGCATTGAGCCTTTTCTGCATCCTCTGTTACTAGGTTGCCTCCCCCATTCAGTAAATGACCCATACTTCTGATCTTCCTCTTGCTATGACATACTTGTAGAAACCCTTCTTGTTACCCTTCGTGTCCTTTGCTAGCTGCAACTCCAATTGCGCTTTGGCCTTCCTGACTTTATCCAGGCATGCTTGAGCAATGCTCTTATATTCTTTCCTAGTCTTTTGTCTAAGTTTTCACGTCTTATAAGCTTTGTTTTTGTGATTTAGTTTACTGAACAGTTCCCTGCTAAGCCAAGCTGGTCTTCTGCTTTACTTGCTAGTCTTCCTGCAACTCAGGATGGTTTGTTCCTGCACTCTCAGTAAGGTTTCTTTAATGGACAGCCAGCTGTTCTGGACTCCTTTTCCCTTCAGACTGGCTTCCTAGGGGATCCTGCCCATCAGTTCCCTGAGCAAGTCGAAGTCTGCTTTTCTGAAGTCTAGGGTCCTTACTCTGCTGTTCTCTACCCTTCCTTTCCTCAGGATTCTGAACACAATCATCTCGTGGTCACTGCTGCCCAAGTTGCTATCCACTACTACATTCCCCACCAATTCTTCCCTGTCTGTGAGCAGCAGGTCAAGAAGAGCATGGCTCCTAGTTAGCTGCTCCAGCACTTGCACCAGGAAGTTGTCTCCAGTACTATCCAAAAACTTCTTAGATTGCCTGCACGCTACTGTATTGCCCTCCCAGCAGATATCAGCGTCATTGTAGTCTCCCATGAGAAACAGGACCTGTGATCTGGAAACTTAGATTCATAGATGCTTGGGTCAGAAGGGACCTCAACAGATCATCAAGTCTGACCCTCTGCCCTGGGCAGGAAAGAGTCAGATGACCCCAGGCAGATGCCTATCCAGACTTCTCTTAAAGACTGCCCAAGGTAGGGGAGAGTACCACCTCCCTTGGAAGCCCATTCCAAATTCTGCCCACCCTTACTGTGAAGATATTCTTCCTCATGTCCAGACTAAATCTGCTCTCTGTCAGTTTGTAACCATTGTTCCTTGTTACCCCAAGAGGGGCACCCTGGTAAACAGAGCATCTCCAGTTCCTTGCTGCACCCCCCTAATGAATTTGTAGGCAGCCACAAGATCACCTCTCAGCCTTCTCTTGTGGAGGCTGAAGAGATCCAGGTCCCTTAGTCTCTCCTCATAGGGCTTGGTCTGAATACCCTTAACCATACAAGTGGCTCTCCTCTGGACCTTCTCAAGGTTATCCACATCCTTCTTAAAGTACGGCGCCCAGAACTGGACCCAGTACTCCAACAGCAGTCTGACCAATGCTGCATAGAGGGGAAGTATCACCTCCTTGGTCCTATTTGATGCATGATAAAGTACGGTTAGCTTTGCTGATGATTTCATCACACTGACAACTCATGTTCATCTTGGAGCCCACTGACTCCAAAATCCCTTTTCGCTTCAGTCCAGGTGTGCTGGATATTTTTACGCCCTAGGTGTAGCACTCTGCATTTGTCCTTGTTGAACTGCATCCTATTGTGTTCTGCCTACTTTTCCAATCTGTCCAGGTCTGCCTGCAATCATTCCCTACCCTCCGGTGTATTCACTTCACCCCACAATTTAGTATCATCCACAAACTTGGACAGAGTACACTACATGCCCACATCCAAGTCACTGATGAAGACATTGAAGAGCACAGGTCCAAGAACCAAGCCCTGCAGGACCCCACTGTCCTTATCCTTCCAGGTTAATACTGATCTGTCCAACACCACCCTGTGGGTGTGACCCCCCCAAGTCAATTTGCCACCCAGCAGACTGTGTAATCGTCTAAGTCACAGCATCTTTATTTATTTATGAGAATGGGATGAGATATGGTATTGAAGGTCTTCCTAAAATCTAAGAAAACGACATCCACCTCTACTCCTGTGTCTAAGCGTTTTGTGACCTGGTCATAAAAAAGAAACCAGATTAGTCAGGCATGATCTACCTGCTACGAATCCATGCTGGTTGCCCTGCTGCATTATTTTTCCCACTGGACTCACACAAATATGATCCTTAATAATTTTTTCAAAGACTTTTCTAAGGATAGAGGTGAGACTAACTGCCCTATAATTACTTGGATCCTCCTTCCTCCCCTTCTTGAAAATTAAGGAAAACTACTGCTAGTTGTTTGAAGAAAGCCTCATCCACCACTTCTTCCTGGTCTGGTGGTCTATAGCAGACACCCACCACAACATCACCCTTGTTGCTCTCTCCTCTGACCCTAACCCAGAGACTTCAGATAGGCCTGTCTCCAGCTTCATACTGGAGCTCTGAGCAATCATATGGCTATTTTACATAAAGTGCAACTCCTCCGCCTTTTCTCCCCTGCCTGTCCTTCCTGAACAGTTTATACCCATGCTGCAGTCATGCGAGCTATCCCACCGAGTCTCTGTTATTCCAATGATGTCATAGTGCTGTGGCTGTGCAAGGACTTCCAATTCTTCCTCCTCGTTTCCCAGGCTCCATGCATTCCTGTACAGGCACCTGAGGTAACTAGTTGATCACCCTGATTTCTCAGGATGTATGAGAGCACCTTCCCTATTGCCCCCTCCTGCTCGCTCTTCCTCCAGGTCTCCTGCTTCCCCACTTACCTCAGGGCTTTGGTCTTCATCCCCCGGCAAACCTAGTTTAAAGAGATGATCTACCTGGGGACATAGTTTCATAGCTGGTAGGGCTGGAAGGGACCTGAGCAGATCATTAAGTCTGACAGGAAAGAGTACTGGGGTCAAATGACCCCGGCCAGGTATTCATCCAGCCTCCTTTTAAAGACTCCCAGGGTAGGAGCCAGCACCACTTCTCTTGGAAGTTGGTTCCAGATCCTAGCTGCCCTGACAGTGAAGTAGTGCCTCCTGATATCTAGTCTGAATCTACCTTCTGCTAGCTTGTGACCGTTATTTCTTGTCACTCCTGGGAGTGCTCGGGGGAACAGGGACTTCCCCAGTACCTGCTGGTTCCCCCCTGACTAGTTTGTAAACAGCCACTAGATCCCCCCTCAGCCTTCTTTTGTGGAGGCTGAACAGGTTCAGGTCCCTTAGCCTCTCCTCGTAGGGCCTACCCTGTTGACCCCTGATCATGTGGGTGGCCCTCCTCTGGACCCTCTCCATGTTGTCCACATCCCTCCTGAAATGTGGCTCCCAGAACTGGATGCAGTACTCCAACTGTGGCCTAACCAGTGTCGCATAGAGGGGGAGGATCACTTCCTTGGACCTGCTTGAGATGCATCTGTGGATGCATGACAAGGTATGGTTGGCCTTCCTGACCGCATCCCCACACTGTTGGCCCATGTTCATATTGGCCTCAATAATGAACAGGAACGAACAGGCATGGACATGGAATATATATGAATAATGAATAGGAACAATAATGAACAGGAACATGACATGGAACAGGAAGGGAAAGGATGGGCAGATCCTATCCATGCGAAGTGATCCTGACCTTCACCTCGCTTCTGCCTTGTCTTCTCCCCCCACTTCCCCAGACCTGGTGACCCCCAATGGCTTAAACGTGAAGAAATTCTCAGCCATGCACGAGTTCCAGAACTTGCACGCCCAGAGCAAAGCCCGCATCCAGGAGTTTGTCCGGGGGCATTTCTATGGGTGAGTCATAGATTCCCATTCCCATCCCCCACCCCCTCGGAACCCACTCAAACACAGTGGAAGCCAGCTGTCCTAGTTCCCAGCCCCCCACTACTCCAACCCCCAGCCCAACTCCCCTTAGAGCTGGAAGAGAACCCAGGCGTCCTGGCTCGTACCCACCAGGGCCCACCCCCTTTCTTTTGTGCTGGAGTCCCCCTCTGGCGCCCCTATGGGTTGGTAATGGAAAGACACCAGCTCTCTTAACCCAGGGTGGAGTACCTAGAGAAATCATGGGGTGCAGACTGAGTCCCATGCCCAGTCACCTGCCACTGGGATCACTGGGAGATGTGGGGAGAGAGAGGCAGCTGCCTCTGGGTGGGGCAGTTACTATATAGAGATGCCTTGCTCAGCGCTGATGCAGCCATATCTGGGGTGGAGCATGCTGGCCAGCTGTCTATAACAAGTTCCTCATGCCCCCTTCCCCCCCCCCACCTTGTAGACACTTGGACTTCAACCTTGATAAAACCCTCTTCTTCTTCATTGCTGGGCGCTATGAGTTCTCCAACAAGGGGGCTGACATCTTCCTGGAGGCTTTGGCCCGCCTCAACTACCTGCTGCGGGTGAGTCTGGGGTAGGGGCAGACTGTGAGCAGGGGCAGGGTGTCCCCTTAAGTCAGGCTGATTTAGGGGGAGGGGATCCCTTGTGTTGCCAGATGTCTGTGTTCTGGGGGGGTCTTACTGGGGTGTTTGGACTGGAAGTACGGGACTCTTCCCTGGCATTGCTTTGGGGTCCGCTAAAGGTGGTGTAGGGTGTCAGGTCCTTTGGGGGTGAATGGGGGGGGCTCAGCTGTTAGGAGCCCCCCCTTTCTCTTGCTGGGGGGTGCCCCCCACTGCACTGTTGTAGAAGCTTTGTCCCTCCTGACCACTGCTCTGGTGCTCTGCACAGGTGAATGGCAGCGAGAGCACAGTGGTGGCCTTCTTTATCATGCCAGCGCGGACCAACAATTTCAATGTGGAGACCCTCAAGGGGCAGGCTGTGCGCAAGCAGCTCTGGTGAGCATTCCACTACCTTCACCCAGCCCAGCCCATACCTTCCCAGGACTCAGGTGTTCGGGCTCCCATCCTTCCCTTGGCTTTAAATCCCTAGACTCCACAACCTTATTTCATAGATTTCATAGACATTAAGGCTGGAAGGGACCTCGCAAGATTGGGTCCAGCCCCCTGCCCAAGGGGCAGGAAGTCAGCTGGGGTCGAATGATCCCAGCGAGGTAGGCGTCCAAGTGTTTCTTGAAAGTGTCCAGAGTAGGTGCTTGCACCACCTTTGGAGGAAGTCTATTCCAGGCCCTGGGGACTCGTAAAGAAGTTTTTCCTTATATCCAGCCTAAAATAGTCTTCCAGGAGTTTGTGACCATTGGACCTTGTCTTCTCTTGGGGTGCCCTGGTGAACAGATGTTCTCCCAGTTCCTGATGCACACCCCTTATGTACTGATAGGCTGCCACCAGGTTGCCCAGAGGCAGGGGTGGAACCCAGGTGTTCAGGTTCCCACACTTCCCCAGTTCTGACTCCCTGGACTTCACAACCCTCCCACATCCAGGGGTAGAATCCAGGCACCTGGACACCCATCCTCCTCTGTCTTTGATTCATTAGACTCCAGAACTCTCCTACAGCCAGGGGTTGAACGCAGGCTTCCATGCTCCTGCCCTTTCCCAGTTTAGTGGTTTGCTGGACTTTGTGCCATTTCCAGAGTCAAAGGAAGAACCCAGAGGTCTGGACTCCCACCCTCCCCAGGTGCAGTGGGGTATAGCCCATTCCCCTGATGGAGCTAGGATGGACCCCAGGCACCTCTGTCTTCCCCGAAGTGACCACCCTCTCTCTCTTCTTTCTTCTTCTTTCTGCTTCTCCTTCTCTTTCTGCAGGGACACAGCAAACGCTGTGAAGGAGAAATTTGGGAAGAAGCTCTATGAGTCTCTCTTAGTGTAAGTGCTCCCCCAGTTTAGAGCAGTGGAGTGCAGAGGGGGATGGTGCCAGCCTGTTGCTGTCCTCTCTAGCAGGGAAGGGGCTTAATGGGGGATCTAATGAAGAGGCAGGGATTGTGGGGGAGAGGGGAAGGGTTTCGGGGCTCAGGTTGGACAGGGCAGGCACTGTAGGGTCCCTGGGGGGGAGGGGAGGGGATCCAGACTGAGGCTCTGTCCTTGCCCCCACACTGCCTCCTTTCCATGCCCCCCCCACCAAAAAAAAACAAAAACAAAACAAAACAATCCCTCCTGCCCACAGAGGGAACCTCCCAGACATGAACAAGATGCTGGACAAGGAGGATTTCACTATGATGAAAAGGGCCATTTTTGCCACACAGGTACGCAGATGCCTGGGTTCTTTCTCAATCCCAGGAGGGGAGGTAGGGGCTGGTTGTTAGAGCATGGGGTAGTGGGAGTTAGGATGTCTGGAGTCTGTCCCTGGTCTGAGAGGGGTGGGGGCTGGTGGGTTGGAGCAGGGGATGCAGGGAGCCAGGACTCCTGGGTTTTATTCTAGCTCTGGGGTGGGGGTGAGGTCTGGTGGGCTGGAGCAGGGGGTGCTGGGAGCCAAGTTGCCTGGGTTCATCTTATTTCTGGAAGCAAAGTGGGAACTGTTGGTTAGAGCAGGCTCGGGGCTGGGAGCCAGGACACCTGGCTTCTACCCCCAGGTCTGTGAGGAGAGTGGGGCCTGGTGGAGGGAAGGGTGGGAGGGCTAGAACCTGGGTTCTCCCAGCTCCGGGAGGGGAGTGAGGGCTGGTGGGTTGGAGCCAGGATGCCTGGGTTCACTCCTTTCAAGGTGGACCTCTTGAGGGCTGACCCCTGTCTGTCCATCCCCTCCTTGCAGCGTCACTCCTTCCCCCCCATATGCACTCACAATATGCTGGACGACTCCACGGACCCCATCCTGAACACGATCCGGCGCATTGGGCTCTTCAACAGCAGTGCCGACCGTGTCAAGGTGAGCAGGCAGGGGAGGGGAGAGGCCTCAGGGGGTGAGGGAAGCCTGTTGTGGGGGAGAGGGTCCTGTGGTGTTTTGAGGTAACCCCCCACCCCTCTATGCCCCAGGTCATCTTCCACCCTGAGTTCCTCTCCTCCACCAGTCCTCTGCTACCTGTGGACTATGAAGAGTTTGTCCGTGGGTGTCACTTAGGTGTCTTCCCCTCCTACTATGAGCCCTGGGGATACACACCAGGTAGGGGTTCCCTGGATGCCTTGTATGGGGAATATGGGAGGATCAGGTGGGGTAGAGCAGGGGAGGCTGGTAGCCAGGACTCCTGGGTTCTATCCCAGCTGTGGGAGAGGAGTGGGGTCTGGTGGGCTAGAATAGGGAGAGCTGAGAGTCCAGACACCTGGATTCTCTCCTGGTTCTTGGAGGGGAGTGGATTCTGGAGTGGTTGGGCGGGGGGGCTGTGAAACAGGACACCTGGGTTCTATCCCAGCTCTAGGAGGCAGTGGGGGCTGGTGAGTTGGGAGCAAGGGGGGCCTGGGCACCTGCGTTCTTTCCCAGCTCTGGGAGGTAGTGTGGGCTGGGAACACCAGACTCCTGGGTTTCCATTCCCCTGTTCACTGCTTCTTTGATTCAGTCCAGAAGGGCCTGCATTTCCATGGCAGGTGAGGGGTCCTTGCATGTCCAGCCCCTGTCCCACAGCAGGCATGTTTCCATGGGCCACACATTAGTGGGCTGAGCTGTGGCATGGTAGGAGGGGAGTTTGGGGGCCAGATATGCCCTCCCCCCACCAGAGTCTCAGGATCTCTGCAGCAGCTCAGAGCAGGTGACTATTGGAGCAGCCAGGAGAATGAAGTGAGGAACCACAGCCTGCCTAGTTACAGCAGAAGAGGAAAAGATCTGGGATTAATTTTGTGGAGGGGGGAAGGATGACACAGAGTAGGGGGGTCCTAATGTGTATCACAGCTCAGTACCACCGTACCACAGCTCAGCCCACTGGTGTCCCCAGTGTGCAGAGCAGAGTGCAGGTGCCTGTGTTCCCCCATGCTTCTTGACTTTGCTGGTAGCTATGTGAGGCCAGGAAGGAATTATACCTCCTCCTGTTGCTATAGGTGTCAGGGTGTTTTTAAGCCTCTCTGAGGCATTGGGTATTGACTGCAGCTTAGGCTGGGGATTGAGACTGGGCTGTGCCAATTCTCCTGCTGGGACTTCAAGCCAGAGGCTCTGAGCTAGAGGGTCCTGCCCCCCTTCTCGGAGTCAGACTGATGCTACATTTGAAGTCAGGAAGTCATTTTACCCCACGTTCAGATCATTATGGACTTGGGCGGTGGGGGTTGCCTTCCTCTGTAGCAGGTGTAGGGCCCTCCTTTTTGGGTCTCTCCAGTGTGTGTAACAGCCTGGCAGTGAATAGGCATTGCCAGCTCTCATCCCCCTGCATCCTGGGGCAGGTTCAAGGGCTCTTGGCATCCTTGGGCAGTGGCCTTGTAGCTGTGCGACAGGGGTGTGAGGTAGTATAGTATTAGGAATAGATTGGACCAGGATTTGGATGGGGCTTATCTTGCCTCAAGCACGGGAGTTGGGCTAGATGTAACCTCTGGAGGGCCCTGCTTGCCCCATGGCTCTAGGATTCACCTGCCCCCTTTTCTCCTCCCCACAGCTGAGTGTACTGTCATGGGGATCCCCAGTATCTCCACCAACCTCTCAGGATTTGGCTGCTTCATGGAAGAGCACATTGCAGACCCCTCTGCATATGGTGAGAAGTGGGGGGGGCCCAGACACCTGGGTCCTTTCCCAACTCTGGGAGGGGAGCAGGCTCTGGTGGGTTAGAATCAGGAAGGGGCAGGGAGCCAGGACACCTGGGTTCTATCCTGGCTCTGGGAGGGGGTTGGGGTCTGTTCGGTCAGAACAGGGGGGAGCTGGGAGCCAGGACACTTGGGTCTGTCTGGATGCTGGGGACTGGGGTGCCTCTGAATTCTCTCCTTGGCCTGGACACTGGGGAGGCTGGAAGACAGGATGCCTGGGGTCCTTTCCCAGGCTGGTCAGGGAAAGGGTGGGCTGGTGAGAGACCTGACAGTTGATTCATGCTTTGGTTCTTCACCTGACGGGTGCAGCTGCCTGGGCTGGGCTGAGTGCCTGGGGTCCCTTGGCTGGGCTCTGGTGGGGAAGAGGGGGCAGGCAGACACTTGGTTCCCCAGGCCAGGCTGTGACACTGCACCTCCCACAGGGATCTATATCCTGGATCGGCGGTTCCGCTCACTGGATGACTCATGCACCCAGCTGACCTCCTTCCTGTACAGCTTCTGCCAGCAGAGCCGACGCCAGCGCATCATCCAGCGCAACCGCACCGAGCGCCTCTCCGACTTGCTCGACTGGAAGTACCTGGGCCGGGTCTGTACCAGGAGGGCAGGGTGGGCTAGGGTTTGGGGGTGGTGAAGGGGATGACTAGTAGGAGGAGCTGGGTCAGGTGAGTTCTGGAGGGGATGAATCTAAACCAGGTGGGGGGGGCAGTGGGGTGAGAAGTTGAAGTACTGGGAGGCAGCAGGCTGGGAGCTGGGCAAGGGAGAGGCCAAGCTGGGGGATTTAATTAGGGCAGGTTATGGGAGTAGGACTGGAGCTGCTCCCTCCAAATTAACCTCCCCCTCGCCCCCCAATTTGCATGAGACCTCAACACCCCAGCCTTGTCCACACCGTTCCAGGAGTGACCCCATTACTTACCTGACTCCCATCTCCTCTCTCCAGGGTGTTTGGACCAGCCTCCTTCTCCACTGGGAAATATATCCCTTTCAGCCCCAATGGGATGCATTGTCCAGTGAGAGGTTAACCAGTCCCAGGGCTTGTTGAAAGGCCCTGTAGGCACAGGGTGATCTTCAGGGATTGGGGGAGCTGCTGTGGGGGAGGGGGAACCCAGGCATGGAGCCCCTTAACCCTCTTCATGTGGCATCTCTCTTCCTTCCCCCTCCCC